AGTATGTTTATTTCATTGTACTGCAGTAGGTGGTTGGCTTGAATGAAATAATTAATAATTCACGCTACGAACGCTTTGTAGATCGGAACCCAGAGCCCCACGCATTACAATATCTTAAGTGAACTCACAACGTAAGTTCAAAAGTTTACATTTTACAGTTATGATCAATGTGAGCACAAATCTAATATTTGTCACAGGAAAATAACCCTTTGTGTATACCAGTGTACCGTTATGTGTGCCAGTCTCTCCTACTCCACTTATTTGGTCTGTTTTCAGTGATTAATAGCTGCCATAATAGCTACGTATAAAACTTAATCGCCGTTCCCAATGTTAATTTGTACGTCGCTGATTTTGAAATACAAAGCTCATTTGAGGTCAGTGTTTGTATTAGTAATACAAATAATAATGACGCATGAGGACCGCCAAAACGACTGTTTATCAGACTCATGTCTGCCTGTCTTTTATCTTTTAAACCTTTTAAAATATTTTTCCAGTTGTATTACGCCGTGTCAGCTTGACGTGGGAGGAGATAGCAGATAATGCAGGTCTTACAGTGAAACCCAGGGGTCAGGACAACCGGGACTCGTCATCGTTTCCAATTATTTTTAGATCGATGCTCATGATGTCGATCACTGGAGTGAGTGAGTGAGTTTAGTTTTACGCCGCACTCAGCACTATTCCAGCGATATGGGGGGTGGTCTGTAAATAATCGAGTCTGGACGAGACAATCCAGTGATCAACAGCATGAGCACCGATCTGCGCAATTGGGAACCGATGACATGTGTTAACCAAGTCAGCGAGTCTGACCACCCGACCCCGTTAGTCGCCTCTTACGACCAGCATAGGTTACTAAAGGTTCATTCTAACCCGGACATTCACGGGTGTCGATCACTAGATCGTCTGTTTACAGACTAGAGACACATAGTTTGAATATCAAACATCAAACATACAAACCTAAGGGAAACAACTCTGTACAGGAACTTGTAGTTCCTGAGATGACTGGGTCACCTTTTACACGTCTTGAAACTAATCAACATTGTTGCTGAAGATCAATTCTAACCCGGATCTTGCTGAAGATCAATTCTAACCCGGATCTTCACGGTATTTTGCTGATGAAACGATGGTGATCATTGTCTTCTTTGTACACGTACAACCGCTCACGAGATTTTCCATTACCTGGTGTCAGTTAAAGCAACTTTACTACATTAATGCTAGACAATACATGGCTGATTCCTTTTCTCTTCCTTGTTCTGTGGTCCAAGTATAACTGTAGTGACAATTTATTCCCAATCCAGAAACATCCCACTCTTTAAAGCATCACAGATATGGTATCTATGCAAATTTCTTTATTTAAGTAGAATGAACTCTGTGGGTGAAACTCGACGTGTACATATATCAGCCTTCAGCCAAAACCTTAGTTGTGCCCAAACCGTGACCAACTCGTATTATTCCGGCACAAGCCGAATATCGACGCGTGCCCCTCTGGAAGGACTTCATACTGGCACATGAACATCAGAACTACGTTAAACAAGAGTGAGGGAATTAAGATTTAATGTCACATCGGCAGAGTTTCATCCATATCGTGAAGAAACAATTTTGACATTGATAAAGAATATGTGTATATGATAAAACATGTCGCCAAAGTACAATAAAACACCTAAACAATCACAGGTAAATGAAAACTAGCATGTTAAGCTAAAACAAATAGCATTTTTTGACAATACAGTATGAAAACACTGGCTATAGATCGCCACCAACTGAAGGTAGATCATCGTACTGGGGACCATGGACGTTAGAGCCCAATGATAAAGATTAAAGTTGATTTGTTATTAACAGATGTAATATTATTGCTTTGAAACTTGAAGTGAATTATAATTATTATTTTCTAAAAATGTTTGAAAAGCGCACGTAAAATCTTCAAAACATACCCGCAAGATCGTCAGAAATACACACAATTAGAAAGCCGTTATGTAAACAAACGCACGTGCGTGTTTTTGTATACCTCACCGTCCACAGCATTATCCTTATAAATAAAAGTAACCACATGAGGCAAGACAATTCTGTTAGGTATATCCTGTGTACTTTAAACATGACAATACATAATTTTTGATAGATTTTTAAACAATCATACAATGCCAAAAACGATTTAAGTACTTGAGATTACTTATATCAAAGTACATGCAATCATCACGCGCGTTCTGATTGGTTTGTCATATTTTCGCACACAACACAGCATCAAGAGGGCACGAGTATTCCTGGAGTTTACGGAAAGGGCGAATGGTGACGAATGGTTGTGCCCAAATATACCTCTTTCAACAATATCATTTTTCATGGAAGCTCAATACAAGCGTGTTAATCTCATTAAACGTAACAGAAACAAGGCTAATATATAGTGAACTATTAATCGTTCGACATAAGTGACTTTATCGTTTCATTTATTCAGCCATGCACGATTGTAAAAAACGGGTGAACTTCAATATTGATCGTATGAGTCGTATCATGAAGCGGTCATAAACTCCAGATTATTGCATCGTCGAGGCACAATAATACTGATGTGACAAAGTGAACAAAATAGAAACATTTAACACTGGTCGTTGCAATCGTCACCACTCGCCCCTTTCCCAAACCTCAATAAGATAGTTGGTAGGAATCATATAGACAGAACCATAAAACACTGGTCGAGATATTCCTCTAACAAGGATGTTTACTTCCAGGTTCTGAAATAACAGAATGATACAATGTAGCAACTTATATTTAGCACTTATTATCATGAAACAACATTTGTGAATATCCCATTATAATGAAACTACAGCAATAAGTTCACAATACATGACACTGTCATGCAATGACTGCTCCCAAGTTTCACGAAACTTTGAAAAAGTCTAGCAAAACTACAGATAGTAAATTCTATGAATTAACACTGAACATGTTGACTTAATATTGATTCTAAAACTACAAACTGACTCTAAAATCCTGACATTATAACAGAAATCTGCTATATAGTTACAAAACACAATGTATCAGAGCGCACCATTACCACGAAAATAGGATACAGTTTTGCACGTGACCAAATAATTGAACATTCCTGTAATTGCAAAAATACTCTGAAAATAGTATAATACACCGCCACAACATGGATATATTATAAGAGTGACATTTGTACCTGAAGAGTGCATCTCGACCGTCTCTGAAACTTCAACATTCAATCTATATTTGCTCTCAACAAACTCCTTTTTGACCATCGCGGGTCACTCATGCGCTCGCTCGCAGTAAACTTTTAACAGCCAGGGAGCATCTATTGTATCAAATGTCAACGACTTAAGCCACTACTACGATGTATCTACAGTCAGAGAACTTAACTACTGGTCAAATAAAGATATTATTCCAAACGAGTACACAAAATGCAAAATACTGCTGCACATTTCCTGACTAGAAACAATTCTGCAAAATATTATGATTACATCAGGGAAAACCAAACAAATTGTAGTCATGACCACACTAAATATACACTATTAGTCTCTAAAACCAAAACAGTTACAACATAATAAGACTGTCTGCATGGTATTTCATAATACCAATGTACATGATAAAAATGACAAGCTCTTTATACTGACACACAAATAAAACTAACCATAGCAGAATAATTCAGGTGCAACCTAGCCTTAAAACAACATGTAATATTATTCCAAACAATCCTCGGGGGGCAACAAATTGAGCATGATAACAAACTGGTCTTATGCTTCCAAGATAAGATAACATCTCTGCACAGAACGCTTGTATACCCCATTCTTGGTGCGAACTTTGACATTTCTGATGATTCCATCCTTACCCGGATACACATCAGTAATAGGAGCAAGGTCCCATTTACCTCTGGGTGCACCATAGTCAACAAGTAACACAATGTCTCCTTCTTGTAACTGTCGGCCTTTTACTTGCCACTTACTTCTCCTCATTAATGTCGGTAGGTATTCTCTCAGGAAACGCTTCCACACTTGCTGAACAAGCATTTGAACATATTCAAATCTCTTATGAAGGTTCCTAGTTTCCTGAAATGGACCCTGAGGGACCTCAGCTGAAGCTCTTCCAAGAAGAAAATGATTTGGGGTGAGAGGTTGAAGGTCATTTGGGTCACACCTTGAATAACCCAGTGGTCTGCTGTTGATCAAACATTTAACTTCAGCAAATGCTGTTGACATTTCATTCCAGGTAAGTACCTGATGTCCAATGGCAACTTTCAAGGCTTGCTTTACTTGTTTAATTAAACTCTCATACAGTCCTCCTTGATGTGGGCTTAAAGGAGTTATAAACTGCCACTTGACTCTATGAAGCACTGCAAAATCCTGGATTTGCTTTTTCCCTTCCTCAACCAATGCCCTGAGTTCTCTCTCTGCCCCTACAAATGAGGTACCATTATCAGAGATAATTTTCTGTGGCCATCCATGATTTGCAGCAAAGCGCCGAAGAACTTGGAGAAATGCTTGTGTTGACAGTCCATCAACAATTTCTAAGTGAATTGTTCTCACATTTGCACATGCAAATATTGAGCCCCAAGCCTTTGTTGTCTTGTTCCTTCCATATTTCAACAAAAACGGTCCAAACAGATCAACACCCGTTACAGTGAATGGAGGGGAAAATGGCATCAGTCTTTCTGGGGGGGAGGTCTGACATCAAGGTTGTATGACCAGGTTGTCGAAGCTTTCGACAAATAACACAATTTCTCACTACAGCCTTTGCAAGACTCCTTCCTCGAACAATCCAGTATGTTCTCCGACATTCGCATAATGTCCTCTCTGGTCCTGCATGACCCATTTTCACATGTACATCCTGCATTATCAGTCTGCAAATGTGGTGACCTGCAGGTAACAATATAGGATGGATCTGATCATACTGCAAAGGGGAATGCCGCAATCTGCCTCCCACTCGGATGACACCATTCGCAACAAATGGAACAAGGTCAATGAAATCCGTTTCCCAGTCAAGCATCCCTGCTTGTACATATTTCACCCAGAACAATTCAGCTGCAGATACTTCATGACACTGCAGAGATATTTCAAACTCAGTCTGCTGTTACTCTTTCTTACTTTGTCTCGAAGTCTTTGGATGAATCGAAGACAGTAGGCTGTAACCCTCAAAAGATGCTGCCAGCTTGACACATTCTCTGCTTCAATGACTGGTAACACTGGGATACATGAAGCAACAAGTTTAGATTTCCTCATCTCTGAACTGTCTTTAACAACTACTTCATCTGTTGGTTGTATAGGCCATTGCTCAGTTGGCAGTTTCAGGAAAGATGGACCATGAACCCATCTTCCATTTATCTCCTCGACAGATATGCCACGACTCAAGTCATCAGCTGGGTTCAAGGCTGTTGGTACATACTTCCAGTGACTTGCATCCCAAACAGATTGAATCTCCGCAATACGAACACCTACAAAGGCCTTGAATGATATTGAATCAGAGTGTATCCAGTGGAGTACAATCCGAGAGTCAGTCCACAATGTTACATCTGATGGCTTCTCTTTAAATTCAATACAGATTGTCTTGGCAAGCCTTGTGGCAACTAAGGCAGCCATAAGTTCCCACCTTGGTATGGTTGTTTGATGCAGTGGAGCCACTCTTGCCTTGGCAAACACCAATTGTATTTCTGTACCTCTCACAGTTGGCCACAGTAGGTATGCTGCCGCTCCATAGGCTCCCATACTTGCATCACCAAACACATGTAGCTCGGAAGAACCGACAGAGTCACATGGCTTCAGGCATCTTACAAATTCAACATGTTCAAGCCTTTTCATCTCTGCAAATAATCCTTGCCATAGTTCACACATCTCGTCAGGTAGGGGGTCATCCCAGTCCAAGGACTTGTGTCTCCAGACATCTTGCATTGCCATCTTGGCTTTTATAGTGACTGCTGCTGCCAGACCTAGGGGGTCATATAACATTGACATCTTTGACAGCACTATCCTCTTGGTATACTTCTCTGTGCTCACATCTCTGACAACAAAGCTCATAGTATCCATCACAGGATTCCATCCTAAACCTAAGGTTTTGACCTCCTCACCATCAAGACTAATATCTGTTTCATTCAGCTTTCCGCGCTTCTCCAGTGCAAGCTGTTTGCGAACCTCCTCCAGTGAACAATACCATTCCTTTATCTGGAACTGTCCTGTGGCTAGGATTCTGTCAAGATCATGCATTCTCTTTAAAGCTTCATCAGAAGTTTCACAAGAATGTATTAAGTCATCCATGTATCTGTCTCTTTTCAACACATTTGATGCATCAGGATAATCTTCCTTATGTTGATCTGCCATAAGGAGGACAACATAACTCGCCATGTCAGGTGATGGTTTGTCACCAAATGTGACTCAGAGAAGTCTGTAAACAGTAGGGCATGTGGCTGTTTCTATGTCTCTCCAGAGGAATCTATGAACATGTGTATCACTATCTTTGAGTTTTATCTGTAAATACATCTTGGAAATGTCTCCAACTATGGCTACAGGTTCTTCACGAAACTTAAGAAGAACGCCAAGTAGCTTTCCTATCAACCCTGGACCTTTGTACAAGTAGGAGTTCAGTGACACACCTTGGTACTGACACGCTGGGTCAAGCACCACACGAAGGGGTGTGCTTGGTTTATCAGGCCGGTAGACTCCGTGATGAGGAAGATAATACACTGGTCCCTGATCACAAAGTGATTTACTCATATCAACTTTCTCAGCCCAGGCATTCTGTTCATATTCATGAATGGCGTCATTGTACATCTTCGCCTTTGCGTCGTCTTTCTGGAGACTGCGTTCCAGAGAACAGAGGCGCTTCTCGGCAAGAAAGTAGTTGTTTGGCAATGATGATGGATCCCTTTCCCATGGAAGACCAATCTCATATCTATCTCCCTGCTTGACACAAGATGATTGCATCAATTCAAGTGCCTTACGATCTTCGCCTGACATAACTTCAGTTGGGCAGTCACAATTGGGAGCCTGAATCCCAAGGGTCTCAAAGTCATAAAACTTCTCAAGATTAACTTTGTCAACAAAGTTAACTGAACAGATGTATGATAGACGTTGTGTTTTGTCTGGTCCCATCGCATACCATCCTAGTTTCGTCCGCTTCCCAATTGGTTCAAATGGCAGTCCTTGGAGTACCTCTTCTTCCGCATGCAGGTGACTGTAGTGTACTCCCAATATCAGGTCAATCGGTCCAGCTTTGTGTGGGAAGTCAATATCCTGCAAGTGAGGAAATGAATGTAACCCTGGCCTATCCAAGGGCTGCATACTCAAGACTGTCTTGTCAATCTCATAGGCATCTATCTGGGATTCTTCCCCGCTCTCTAGAGGTGAAACCCAAAACTTTACTCGTCGGCTATTGATATTTTCCAACCTTTCACATCCTACTAATGACAAATGAAGTCTCTCTTGTTTGCCTTGGAGTCCAAGAGCCTTTGCAAAATCCTTTCTTATGACTGTGGTCCCTGCACCACCATCCACTAAGACATTCCCTTCCCGTGTTCTGCCATTCTGAGCTTTGAACAGTACTCTCACTACTGGCAATATGCTATCACAATCCAGAGGTGTCGTGACTGAGCTTGCTATTGGTGGATCCATGTGGAGCAGTTTATGGTGAGTCCTTTTGCAGCCATTTGTAGCACACTGTTTCCTTGACTTGCACTCTCTAGCTAAGTGTCCTCTCACCAGACAACTGAAACATAGTCTGAGATCCTTGACCTTCTGCACACGTTCTGATACAGATGAATCAACAAGTGTGGGACACTCAGAAACTCGGTGTTCCTCTTCACACATGTAACACTTTGGTGTTCTCTTTATTTGCTGCTGTGAATATACACCCTTTTCCTATCCCTAGGGTTTGGAAAATGTGCTTTCAATCTGTCTTGCCCTTTTCAATGTCACCAAAATCAGGATCAAACTCAACTTTGACCCTTTTTCTCACAAGGCACTAATATGAGTCACTGAAGGTACTTCACCCTTCTCTCTAAGATCTGTAGCAATAAATTTCCACTTCTCTATGAGGTGTGATGGCAGCCGGGTCACAATCTTCCGTAGATTATCATTGGCATTCACATCTGCATAGTAATTTATGCGTTGGAGGGTTGCAATGCAGTTAATTAGGTCCAGTGAAAAGTCACGCAAGGCTTCTCTATTATTTCCAGGAATCTTTGGCCCCTTTGTCAGCTTGTTAATAAGTGCACGTGCAATAATGCTTGCCTGACCAAACTGATCTTGTAGAATCTTCACGGCTGTGGCATACATTGTTCCACTTGAACCAAGTACAGATATAGCCCTCTCTGCATCACCTGATACATGCATTCTCAGCTGCATCATCCTATCATCTGACAGATGAGGTTTATCATGAATATGAATTTTGAACTTCTCAATAAAGTTCACATACTCCAGAGGGTTTCCATCAAACTTCCCTAAGGTAACAGTTGGAATGTCTTTGCTGGCTTCCAACTTAAATAGAGCCTCAGCAATAGACATATTATTCAAATTTGAAGGCAACTCTGTCTCTGTAAACTCAACTAGACCTCCTATCCATGTATCAAATGGCTGGTTCTGTTGTAAAAGGTCTGGCTTCTCAACTGCCGATGACTGTTGTCCAGTATGTGAGCTTTTGCCACTGGGCAAACTTGATGGGATATCATCTTTCTCACTGGTGTTAGATTGTGACTGATCCGGTGAATCTGTGGATGTGTCTGTAAGATTTTGTTGATTTGCCCCTGTGTCACCAGAATGACCATCAGCTGATGAATTCTGTTCAGCATTGCTCCCTGAACCCGATGGAGTAGAATGATGAGACTTATTAGCATGATTAGACTTTGTAGTCTTCTGTTTCTGTGATTTACTGTGTGATAGATCTTCCTCTCCATTTTCACTAAGTGACAGTAAGTAATCTTCAGCCTCTTCCTCAAAGGTGTAGATGTCATTTATTACATCAGCCTCCCACTGGTCTAACCTGGCAACCTGAGTTTCATCAACACAGGTATAAAGTTCTGCATGTATCTCACAGACCTTAGTATAGTCTGTACGTAACTCCTCAAGTTCTTTCAACAGTCTTCGTCGACTCACATTCTCTTGAGCAATAGCTTCTTGCACTCTGTGGAAAGTTCTAGTTATTTTTCCTCGGATACTCTTTCTCTTATTCTTCACCAACTTGATTCTCCCTTCAATATCTTGGGTATGTAGATCATCACCCGTGCCAGTATCATCAGGTTATGGTGAACTCATGATTCTCTCTACCTACCAAGCTGAACACAGTACTTTACTCTTCAGAAAATTGGCAGGAATCATATAGACAGAACCATAAAACACTGGTCGAGATATTCCTCTAACAAGGATGTTTACTTCCAGGTTCTGAAATAACAGAATGATACAATGTAGCAACTTATATTTAGCACTTATTATCATGAAACAACATTTGTGAATATCCCATTATAATGAAACTACAGCAATAAGTTCACAATACATGACACTGTCATGCAATGACTGCTCCCAAGTTTCACGAAACTTTGAAAAAGTCTAGCAAAACTACAGATAGTAAATTCCATGAATTAACACTGAACATGTTGACTTAATATTGATTCTAAAACTACAAACTGACTCTAAAATCCTGACATTATAACATTATAACTAACCATAGCAGAATAATTCAGGTGCAGCCTAGCCTTAAAACAACATGTAATATTATTCCAAACAATAGTCTTCATGGCTTTCTAGGCCATATACGCTTATGGTGCCAATATCTGATGCTCAGAGTAGCGTCCCTTCTGCGAAGTCAGGTGAACGACGGGCTGACAACGACCTCGGTCCTTAATAATGTACAACTTGACACAAAACATCAGTTTTAGTCATATCAGATTTAGTTGCATTTCCTGTCCTACCTGGGATTTCTGTATATACAAGGACTAAGATTACCGCGTGTCATCTCGCAAACAAAAACGAAAATGGCTATAAACTGTCCATATGTTTTCGTTCAGTCTACCGGTGAATTGGTTATAGAAATACTAAATAATATTACACACGGAAAGCTGATGGAATGGTTGGAATAAAATATAAAAGAAACAATTATTATATCAGAAATGAAAATGTTATTTTAGTTGGATTATTTACTGTATATATTTGAAATAAGAATGGCCATAATGTAATTATGTTCACTTGACCATTTATGTAAACAATATTGAATATTTCAATTAAACTAATACAATATGTTAAGAACAAAAGTCGAGATATACGAAGAACTGTTTTCATAAAAGAAAAAATGTTGCTAGATGCAGATTGATGAATTGCAAAACAAGCATAGTCGATGTCTCGTATATGGGTCACGACACTGTGTATTTGGCAACCTTGGCAATTACAATTCACAAAAATTTTCTGATAAATGAAGCATTCTATGTAGTATGTATTTCACTTCAAGTAGAAATCGTCGAATAGGCGAGGTTTCCGGATATCCTGGGTCCGGAAAAGTGTGCGTCCCCTAAATGAGTGTAAAGTTTCATTTCCCGGAACTTGGTGTCTAACGACTGTATATTCACGCCCACAACGCGATCAGAGGATTATTTGCATCTGTTGAATTTGCCGTGTCAAGTTGTCCCTGTAACGTTTCTCTAGTTCACGGATGGCTGCAGTCAGTTTGTGAGGTATTCTGCTCATCTGTTGCTCTTGCACATGCGTACTTTGTATCTTGGCTGTTGCCCTAAACAGGTCTTGTATTTGATCATTCGCCATCTTTGATTGTGTCCCAATGTTGACAAGCACGGGAGGTTGTAGCAGAACTGGAGAAATTCTTTCAGGAAACTGTGAATGTTCTTGAGATATCCCTTCAAAGTGATATCGTCATCTAGTGTTATGAACACAAGCACTATTTTGTGTGATATTGGCTTCCTAGCAATTGCGCTGGCATGTTTGAAGAGCAGGTCCTCTTCATATGTCATTGGCGATGCCTTTACAACAAGCAAGAAAGCATCAGTGGAACTTGCCCTGCTCACCAACTCCTCAACTGTAGTCTTAATGTTCTGGCTGTTGTGCAAGGAAAAACCTGGTGTGTCCATTATCTGAAATGTCCTGTTATCCACGCTTGCCCGTCTCTCTTGACATACTGTTGTAGGTTTAAGTAATCCAGGTTCTCGCCTGCAATTGTATTGGCAAGGAGACTTTTCCCTGTCTTAGCGTAGCCCAGGAGCACAACACGCACGGTTTCTGTGGGAACTGAAACACAAATGCGAACATTTATTACAGTGAGTAGTCATCAGCGAGCTGCATTTTGCCTTTGAAGAAGGCAACATGCAATTGATAATATTTTAGCTATAAACTCACAACACTGAAATGAAAAAGGCATCAGCCGATAATTTAGAAAACGCGTTATGATACAATTGTTTTCACAGGTATGACATAATCTGTGATACTAACCTTCATCGCGTTCGTAGATCCTCAATATCGGAGTAGGAATTGCCTTCAGCTTGTCCTGATTGGTCTCGAGTTTGTGATGTGTGGCGGATACCATGATGTGCTTAAACTGTGTCAAGTCCTGACGAGACTGGTGGAAAGATTCTATAGTTTCGATTGTCACTTCATCGTGGGCATGGCTGAAAATAGGCATATTCACACTCCTTATCTCTGACCTTCCCATCACACAGAGATTGCGTGTTAGAATGTTCGTTAGCCATAAGACCCAACACTAGGCTAAGTCAATAAACCTGCTGAATATACAAAGTACCTAGCATGTATGATCGCTTAGCCCCAGTCAACCCATTCTTGAAGAACGAAGCTATATGTAAAACAACCAGCTCAATATGTCATGCCCTTTACAATAATTCATTTGCTCTGATGGAGCAAATTACCTCTAGTATACAAACCTACTTTCTTTTAGTCTTTTCCTCCATGCTGTCACAGATAAGTAGTGTTTTCCGCTGCGTTCCAGTCGTTGGGCAGCTTCGAACATGAACACTGTTTTCCCAGGTTGTGATTGCAGATCAATATTGTCAAGTAACATTGACAACTGTTCTTTCTTCAAAACCCAGAACGCTCCGACTTCACTTTCTTTAGATGACATTGGGATCCTTGTTCTTGCAACTGCGGCTGTTAAAGCAGTCTTCAGTCTTTCAAATTTCGAATCGTTCATGTTCTTTTGATTAGGAAAGCACGATTCAATTACCATAGACTTTCTCTTATGAACGGTATTGTGAAAGTTTTTCTTTTTGAGATATAGTTTTTCCTCGGTGGCCAAAAAGATAAGATTGAACTTTTCTGCTGTGTATTTTCCAAGAATTACCCTCATGCGGCGAGCCACTTCAGCATTATACTGATCAATGCCATCAAATGCCTCAGATGCGAAAGATATAAAAATAGGAAGGCACCTTCGTGTAATGATTATTACGTCACAGTGCAAAATATCAGGAGGTTTGCTACTTGGCAAGTTTAAGGTTGTCGCCATATGCGGATGTTCCTTCTCGAGAGTCCCAACAAACTTCAGTGGTAGTATTGCGGGATCTTCTTTAGTACCTAAAGAAGTATGCAGTTACCAGTATTAGACACATACATGTCAGTCAAGTATTATCAGGTGCTATACTGTTTTGACAGTTTCCATACAGAGTCTTTAAATTTGTCGATATGGATTAGACTATCGACGCTCCATCATCTATAACTCCAGCACGGTCATTCTATAAACTACCCTAGTGTAGGTATTGCAACACGTTTGTCCTGGGGTTATAGAGCATGACAACAATTATAACGCGAACTACAGGTGGCATTAGGGGTCGTTCATAATTTATGGCCTGGGTGTGGAGTGTGGGAGAGGATGATGATGATGATTGTTATGGAGAGACATGTACAATGTAAATGACCCCACCACTCCCACCACCCTAAAGTTTATGTTTAAAGAGACCCCCTGCATGTCATATACAAAATTGATGACACCCCACCACACACCCCTCCCTAGAACAATACCCGTGACGGTTCGGGTTAAAATGAACCTTCAGTAACCAATGCTTGTCGTAAGAGGCGACTAACGGGATCGGGTGGTCAGGCTCGTTGACACATGTAATCGGTCCCATTTGCGCAGTGCGTTGCTCATGCTGTTGATCACTGGATTGTCTGGTCCAGAATCGATTATATATAGACTGCTGCCATATAGCTGGAATATTGCTAAGTGCGGCGTAAAAACTAAACTCACGCACTCACTCCCTAGAACAAAATGGGTGACCTCTCCTTACAATCATCATGAACAAGGATGTGGCTGTGCACGGCGCGATAAAGAACTTTTAGACTGTTGAATTCTTAGACTTCTGGACTGTGACGATTTCGGTACATTATGTAGACATGTACAACATTACGTCATCCAAAGCGATAGCCTTTGTCATCATCGGGGTCCCTTTGTTAGCCTGAATTGTCATGTGTCAGTTTCTCTGCGACTTTTAACTGGTTCAACCTAAACTATCCCTTCTAAATCTTGGAATTACTGATTATGCATGCATGAATCATTTAAGTGTAATATTTTTGCATTAGAGATAGAGCGTCGGTGAATTTGCGTAAGGAGTCGGTTATTCTATACCTTGTGGAAAATATGCTTGAGCAGCATCGAAGCTGTCACCATAGTAGTAGGTAGTTGGCGGAAATGGATCACTGCGTGGTAATGTCAGCTGGTGTATGTCTCTGTCTGTATCTGACCCTGAAATTGACATGAACATGCTTACGAAACGAAGTTGCGAGGCTTGAGGTATACGTGTTATACAAAAATTTGTCTTCTTTCTGATGGGGAGTTTTGGGGCCAGGGAAACGTAGGAACCAAATATACTATGTTTGACTCAGTTGAAGAGTAGCAGTTCTTCAGGGTTTTGACAAACTGACAAACGGATAAAGAAAGATACGGACAACTCTCCGCAAGCACTCGGTGTCATCGTAATTTCTGCAATGATTCATAAACACATGCTCATGATGCGCGTGGGTATTTGACGTTGATTTTATGAACGATAATTTGTGACCTTGGAAGTGTTTTCCACAAGTATCCTTCTTCATGTGCATAAAGAAACAGTTTCGCAAGAACGTGAGTTCAACTGGTGCAAAATGGGGTGGCTTCTTGTCTAAATGGCTTACCCCAAAATGTAACCTAGACGTCATAAATGAAGAATAACATGTAACAACTTTACTTTAACTCTTCACTTTATTTAATGTAGCCGGAAAGAAGAAATATTCACGCTCTCGACGTGTGTTTTATTCAATCTATTAAGTTTACTTCGTAATTCTGGCCACATGACCCATGGTACAGTTGTAAGATATAACATATGGGTCACGTGTCCAGAGTGTTACATATTTGTCAATCTCATTCTAAATAATGTACATAGATATAAAGCTATCAGCGCAGTACATTAACATCACAGGAGATAAATACATTTGCTAACTCTACCAATAATGTTTCTATAATAAGGTAAGAAAACTATTTTGAATATATTTCTTATATACAAAAAAGATCTGGTATTCCATATGGTATTCCATTCTGAATTCATAGGTTGCTCTAACTAACCGTTTGTCCATGAGTACATAATTAGGGCTGCAGACGACATATTATGTCAAAATAATGCACTAAAATGCAGACAACTCCAAACAGTGGCAACACTTTGGGAAATATACTGAACCACAAAAGAAATGTCGCACCGATGGCGGTTCCTCAAAACACACACTTTCATTCAGTCTAATTAACAATCAAAACGGAGGATTGAGTTCAAACGTGACAAATTACGGGTTAACACACTTTCTGGAATCACATTTAGAGTTCACACAAACAAAATCACCAAAAATGGTACCATTAAGATACCCAAAAGTCAGTATTATGTGTGGCCGGTATGGGTAGTGAATTAGCTGATTGAGGAAAGCAATAGGCACTTGGGTCCATACTCTGTGAAATGCCTGCTCGAATCCAACAGCAGTTGTCGGCCTTGGGTGGAGGTCATTCAGTCTTCTTTGAATCTCGTCCCAATGGTGTTCTACTGGGCTCAAATCCGGACTGAGTGCAGGCTATTGGAGGGTTTGGATGCCATGGTGTCTTGGGAAGTCCAAGGTTACTCTGGCAGTGTGGGCACGAGCGTTGTCTTGCTGGAACGTCCAAAATGTGGTACAAAGTGGGGTCTTATAGCGAGCAGCTGTCACGTCACTTCATCATCCTGGACCGAGATTCTGGAACAACTCGGTGCCAGTTATCTGGTTCAGACCGACTGCCCCCCAGACTATGATGCTTGGACTACACCACGAGTCTCTTTCAACAATACACTCACTGGAAAACGGTTTCCCACGCCTTCATCATACTCACACTCTGTCATCGACAGTCGAAACACAATACCGGCTTTCATGAGAGAAAAGCACAGTTCTCCATTGTCGATAACGCCAATTTCGATGCTGAGTTGCCCATTGAAGTCGGTTTTGACGGTATGAGCGATGAGGACACGACAACGATATGATCTGTGACAAACGTCTACGCACTGTATCGGCACTGATGGGTCTGTTGTGAGCCCCGTCCCAAGACTTGGTTCCTCTGGCTCAAGATGTGTGTACCTACAGTTGGCTCAAGAACTGTGAATAGTTGACGTATGATCTGTGCATGAAGTCTGCCCTCTAAAGATCTATGTACGTCCAGTTTCGCTCGAGATCTAGGTCGTAGTATATCATATTCAATAAGACCAGACTATATACATGTATATGAGGTGGAGTCTCTACATACTCTCGTCTTATTGAATTTACTACGTCCCGGACAAGACCCGATTCTCGCGGAAGCCGCGGTGGCTGCGTTGGACGACTGACTTTGTATGCTGGCGATTAGGTGCCTGGCACTGAGGGTGTGGGTTCGAATCTCGCATGGGATTCAACCCAACAAAAGTACTACAATGTGTACTTTACTGCGAAAGTGCAATCCCAAATATAACATATGTTATGAGACCCGATTCGTTCGTATTTCGTTTTACATTTCTGACATAAGTTATACCGAGGAATCACTTACAGAAAATCAACACTTTCATGTGATGTAGAATAAGATGAATATAAGGATACTGTAATGCGTCTAATAAATCCAAATTCATAAGATTTCTTATTTATTCATCACGATGGTGGTGGTTATATCAGATAACATTATGTCGTATGATATCTACGCATAAACCGGTTACCAAATGATACACCCCAGGACACATCTGCCAAGTATCCAACCTCAACAGCCTATAGGACTTTATAGATTTAATTTAATTTACGAGTGTATATATTTGATATCAGAAGACACGTGAGTGAAATTCTGTTTATCATCCCAATTCATTCTTCATTAGTTATCAGTAAAAGAATGAATTTATCTGAACACAAAACTGCCATTAGGCTTTTTGAGCAGTGATCTCAGTGAGGTCATAATATTGTTACATCATCAGCTTTATTACATCATAGCACTGATCTCACACAAGCGATATCTTAGTACTGTGAGAGCCAGTTTTGGATGATAAATACTATTCTGTGTTCAAACTGATTGCTGCGGATTGATGATATTTATGATTGTGGTAGTGTAACCCGATGATGTTGATCATAGCATCTACCGTTGGATTCTCTGTGTAGACTCAAGTCTGATATATGATTAGATAAAGCACCGAGGATAGATTACAATGAAACAGCTGATGATGCATGTGTTAACAGTATCATATGCCTGAACACATTCGTGGCAATCAAGTGATGTGCACAGATAATATATACTAAACTAGACGCCAAAACCTGAATATAATAGAGGTGATTTCTGTCTGTTCCTACTCATCATTAATCTTCACTCCGCTTAGCAAATTTACAAAGGAGAAAAGCTCAGACGAGATGACTGGGAAAACCCAGTTCTCAGTTTCAACTACAATGCTTCAAATGTGAATGACCCTCAAGACCTGTGTTCCGTGAACGGATGTGGGATGTCCTCTGACGTATCCTCTAATAGGAGTCACATTACGATAAGTCTCCAGTAGATGCAGTGCTCTCGCCATCCTAACGACACATGAGTATGCCCGCTGTTGACTCGGTGTAGAAACGCTGCAGGTGAGAATGTATTTTGAATTCCATAATTTGAATTATTTATTCTACATGACAAACTCAAACGAGCCATTGGCGCAGTTGTATTGACGAATCCATATATTTCTATTAAGAAATCATTTATTTTTGTGTGAATATGAGTGTTAATATTTATGAGTGGGTGAGTGAGTATGGTTTTACGCCGCTTTTAGCAATATTCCAGCAATATCACGGCGGGGGACACCACAAATGAGCTTCACATGTGGGGAATCGAACCCGGGTCTTAGGCGTGACGAGCGAACGCTTTAACCACTAGGCTACCCACCGCCCCAATATGTTTATGATGTACTGACAAAAATATTAACAAATTCACCACCTACAACAAAGTTGATCATTGAACAAAATGGTAACTTCGTGCAGATGACATTTTCATCTATTTTGACAAAACTCTAAGGGCCGTTTGAAGACGACATGTCAGTTACAGGTGTTCCGCTTTAGACTTCATCCCCATCAGCCTGCGCTTGTCACACGAATCGACTGATTTGATTGCATGTATTGCTTGATGACTTAGTTGAAACGGTCATGGAACGGCAGCGTCGGTTCTGGACTATTTGTCTATTTGGTCGATGTTGGTTGCAATAACAGCAATAATCCAGCTTCATTGCAGCTGTTTGTAAATAATTGAGTCTGGACCAGACAGTCCAGTGATCAACAGTATGAGCACTGATCTACGCATTTGGGATACCATGACATGTGTCAACTAAGTCAGTGAGCCTGACCACCCGATCCCGTTAATCGCCTCTTACGAAAAGCATGAGTTGCTGAAGATCAATTCTAGCCCGAATCTTCACGGATCTATTTGGTAGAGGTTCATTGAGGCATTCAGTAAAGGGCTTTCATGAGTGGGAACAGTTTAGTTTATAAATGAATTACTTCAACAGCGTACAGTTAGTTGCATGTATCTTTCTCGGGAAAGCTTTCAAAAAGTTGTATGTGCATATGTAGGGGACGTTTCCACATTCGACGCAAGAGAGACATGTAAGATATCCGATGGAAACCATTATTTTGACATGCACCATATGTTAATGTTAATGATAATATTCTTCAGATATGTATTCCATGTTTCTGGTAGGAGTCAACTGTGCAACAGGACATGCGAACATGCTTCGGGAACACCGGGTGTCATTACTTGATAATTCACAAACACATACTCAACATGTAGTGGGAATCGACTCCACTCTGGTCGGACTTGTTTTACGATAACAGAACGAATTGTGTCGCTGTAACGTGACAAGAGCAACGCTCCAGACACTACAACACTTCATGCGACACTTGAAGTTGTTCGAGAGATAATTCCCGGTTTATCTATATTTAGGGCTAACTGGACAAGCAAAGCTGGCTTGAGGAGGAAGGTCAACTGTTAAATGTCACGAGTCAGTCAGCGTTGGAAGTCTTCCTTGTGTACTTATGAAACATACTGCTAACAGCGGCGTAAGACTAAACTCACTCACTCCTTCTGCTTGTAAATAAATGCATTAAGGGGCAATCAGTGTTTCTCAAAGACATGTATTCTTGTATATCTTTACAAAGAAGATTCTACTATTTATCTGGTTTCTAAGACAGTAAGTATAGGTCACAGTCCGTTCTCAAAGAAGTATCTAGTATACTAGATGATATCCTAGTTTCACAAAACGTGAAGTGGTGGATTTAACGTTCACTCATTTAGAAGACCTCAAAGACCCATGTAGATATATTGTGTGAAGCCAGTTTTCTGTTACCTCACCGAACAGGCGTGACAGTATTTCAAAACGCAGCATAATCTTACAATGAATCAATATTTACAAAGTATGTAACATGTGGAATAGTAAGATAATCAGCAAAATTGAAAACTTGACAATGATACATTTCGATATTTCTCTTTTTCTGTTCAATCAAATACGTTTACAAGTATATTAAATAGTTGTAAACAGTGAGAATGCTTTAATTTCGTGAAATTGTAAGTTCACGAGCAAACCTTGACTTTGTCGTCTATGAAGATGAAAAACACGGACTGCACATGTGAAAAAGCAAATTCATGAGGTCACCTGGTGCATGTTTGCTTCAACTGAACACGCACATTGAATGTGAGCTGGAAAACAAATTAAACGTTTTATTTTAATCTTTGTTCGGAAATTGCACGCCTTTCAAATCAGGAAAGTCAACATGTTATGGGGAGGCTTGATACTGGCCAGTCTGTGGTCGCTGTTGCAAGAGCCTTTAATGGCTCACGACAAACAAATTTAAGTCTTAGGGTGAGGATGACGTACTTACGGCGGCTTCAAAAAGTGCGTCTGTTTCCCGCTATTTTCGTTGCCAGTGCAGATTCTATAGCATGAACATCAACCTTTTGTCATCATGGCCCGCCCAAGCCATAATATTTATACCAAATGTCGAGTATACCATGGATGTTCGACAAGTACGCTATCTGTGCGTTTGTCATACTTTATAAATAAGTACAATGCGCTGCCCGATCGCAGGACAAACGGTACTGATTCGTTGTATCCGCGCTGCAAGTACGCATGTGTACGTCCAATATACGCGGTTCATAGCTCGTGCCTGGAGATCAGCGTATTGCCGTGTATGGAATGAACAAACTTACACAAAACGAGTGAGATGAATATGCGGTGGGTTTTGTGCGTAAGACTGTGTATGAAAGAAATGTCAATGCGCAAGTCATAAGGAATTAGGATACGCAGAAGTGTGACAGAGTCCTAAGATCCATGAGGAGACGTTGTGTGGCTGTAAGATATGCTACAGGAGGCCACAACCCTTACTGAAGACCTTAGTCGAAATGTTCTCCACGCTGTGAACTTCAGTCTGGACAAATGACATATACGTATACACCTTCAATAAAGCTTCCCAGGTTACAAACGAAACAATCATAGGACTATTTTGCTAATTTCAGCATTTGTTTCATGATTTCAGATAAGATGTTGCTGTACGTCCTGTGCTTGCTCCTTGCCTGCCTTTCTTGGACTCAAGGCAAACAATTGGACATCTCCTGTAAGCCTTGTGTATGTAGGGTCACACCCAATGGAAAGTTGATCGCCAATTGTAAGGACAAACATCTATCTAACATCCCCAAACAGATTCCAAATTCAGTATCATACCTGTGTTTGTCTCACAACAGTATTAAGCATCTGCCAGGTGGCTCGTTTCAACGGTTCTCTGCTTTGGAACATCTTGATCTGTCTTTCAATCAACTGAAAAGATTGCATGTGCACACTTTTGCAGGAGCTACAAATCTGCTACATTTGAACCTCAATGGAAACCATCTCCAACTTATCAACGAATCAGCATATCCAGAGGGCATATTTAGAGAGCAGAAAAAATTGCTTACGCTGAACATCGCAAACAACAACAAGATCGCAGATTCAGTATACCCAGATAAAGCGCTTGGTGATCTTACTGCTCTTCAGAGACTTTTCATTGACGGTGTTCGGAATGCCTCGTTTGGGACTGGATTTTCGAAACTGAAGAATCTTACTACGCTGTCGTTATCAGGCAAAAGGGGCCACTGCTCAGTTCAAACCCTGTTGAATACATCATTTCTCTACACCCCATCTGTCAGGAACCTGGACATAAGCAAATGTAGAATCAACTTTATTGAAGCAAGTGCATTCTGGCCATTAAGGCATATTGATACACTCGATATATCTGACAATCAGTATCTAGGGTTTGATCGCATGGGTGAAGCTATATATGGACTTCGAAATTCTTCTCTAAGCGTTTTAAAGGTCAACAGAATAGTGACAACATTTGCCATAGGGGTTCACCTAAAGAAACACAATACGAGATATTTCAGTGATCTTAATTTAAAAGAGATTCATATTGATGCAAATAGATTGGAACTCATAGACCAGGAATGCATCGGTCACATGAAAACAGTGGAAATAATATCCATGAATCACAATAGAGTGACATTTGGATCCTATCTCCTGAGTCTCGATAGACTGACAAATCTGCGGAAAATTTCTGTTTATAACCAGTATTCATCTAATATCCCTTCAATCAAGTTGATGCAGTTAGAGGCACATTCCTCTCCCCAATCCGCTGCCCTCATTTGATCCCCAGCCAGTGGTTCAATATTCACATAACAGCATCCATGCCTGTGAACAATTTGAGGCAGATTGCAGCCATAGCCTTTCGTACCGTAACCATCATAATAGTCCCTATTATGATGTAAAATATAACCAAACCAGTATCTTAGGTCCTCCTTATAAGATACCACTACCTCCAAATGCAACCTATGGAAATGTTAGCAACAGCAAATTGAACTATGACATTGTTGAGCTCAACTTTCAAGCAAACCAATTTAAAACTGTTGACATTTCACACAATATCTTTACAAACTGGATAGGCCCAATACATGAAATTCAAACAATTGAATATTTAGATCTCTCAGACAATTACTGTAAATATGTATCTCACAGTTTTTTTATGTATGCTGATGGACTAAAAGTCTTAAATATAAGTCGAAATTACCTATCAGTGTCCCTTCTAGCGGACACAAATGGGCAGATATTTGGCAACCAAACAAACTTGGAAGTCATACGAATCTCACACAATCTTATTCGGGAACTGCCGTCATTAATATTTAGAAGACTTACCAGACTTGAGGTTATTGATTTAAGCTGGAACATGATGGCCTCCTGGAACATTGAAATTAGGCACATGCCGCACCTCCATACCTTAGACATCTCCGGAAACAGGTATGAAGGCATTCCAACACGCCTGACAAATCAAATTGACTATATCATGAGTAATAGAAACGACACTTTTCATCTCAGCATCAAGGGTAATATCTTGAAATGTGATTGTTCGACACTGGAGTCATTAGAATGGATTACAAGGCCGTTTATTTCCATTGAAAATCCTGGCAACACAAAATGCACCTTATCAGATGGGGAAACCATTTCATTTATAGATATAGAAAATGTTAAAGCGAAACTCCAAGTACGTTGCAAAATAGTTATTCCCCTCCTGTCTACAGCAGTAGTAGGAATACTGCTTTCCATGTTGATATTTGGAGCTGGTATGGTGTACCGATATCGATGGAAGCTACGCTATCTGTACTACACCACAAGACGGAAGTACAGGGGTATCAAAGACTTGGACAAGAAGAAGACCATTTTACTTATGATGCCTTTGTTTCCTATGCTGAGGCAGACAGAGGTTCGTCATTGAATTGAAGAAATGCGGGCTGTTCTAGAGAGAACCTACGGCTTGAGGTTGTGCATCCATGACCGTGACTTCATGGTTGGTGAAGCCATCACCGCCAACATCATCAATGCTATTCAGTCAAGCAGGAAGACCATTGCTGTTTTGTCACCTAGCTTTGCAAAGAGCTCCTGGTGTGACTATGAAGTTCACATGGCCAAGTTGAGAGCATCCACACTGGAAGAGATGTCCTATGTGTGTTGTGGTATACCGATATACCGGACAATAGAATCCTCAGTAGAGATATTCGGGACATGATTGAGTATGATACGTATATTAAGTATCCTACACAAGAAAATGACAAAGAAGAGTTTTGGACGAAAATCAAAGCTGCAATCAGCTTTTAAGACTGATGCATCTGACGTTAGATGCTTTTGTATAATGAGATTAAGTGTGATCAGTCCAGCTGGCATCAGTTTCTTGGATATTAAAAGCAAAGGAGTTGATCGGATTGTCAGCAACACAGGCAAACATGTGCAGCTCACATGACATATATACCGTTCTACTCATTGAACTTGAACATGATTCACTCATACTTCCCACGAATGGTGATCGGAAGTGTAGGAGACATCGAGGATCAAAATGCTTAACATGCTAAATTAGCAAAGTGGAAACACTTATTACGAGACACAACTTGTCTGGGTGGAATGGGAACCTGTTTTAAACTATGCATAATAATCGAAGGTTGTTAAAGAATTATCAACAAAGTTACATCCATACCCAAGTGTCCTCCAAGGAGGGGAAGTCCGTATGAATACAAATTTGAATTTCTCGTCGCGATTGCATACAGCTTGGCGAGCTGCTTGGTGAGGGTCAGGTTGTGATTGTGTTGATGCAGAGTGCTTGCTTATGATAGCAGGGATGACATGTTGGGCCAAACAGGATTATCGCCGGCTTCAGCCGTCTACAAATGACTAATTTCATCTCGGTGGATTAACAAGCGGCGACGTTTAATCAGCACACGTGACACTGTAACATAAGAAAGTTTGAGACTCAAATGTTTAGTTAGCTAGTTCAGTCCATCTACCTGACTGGATTTCTTACAAAACTGACCAAATTGTTCAATAGGTATTTCAACTGTCAATCTAGCTCACCTTTGTACATATATGCTTTTCACGAATGAAAATATATCCCAGATCCTCTTTAGATAATCTCTTTTCATGCTCGTTGTTTTCAGTGAATGAGTGAGTGAGTGAGTTAAAATATAAGGTCACCTTGGCAATATTTCAGCCACATCGTGACTTCAGTGAATGAACAGGGATAGGGAAGCAAGTCCTTACAGTTCATGTCAACCCCTCTCCCATGTAACATGTTATATAGTTAGAATTGTAATGTCACTGCATGCTTTATATTATTGTGTTAGTTAACAATTGTATGTAAAACAGAAACAGTCATGCATTGTGTATTTGTATTTTAGTTAAATCTATCAAATGAACACATATGTAAGTAACTGGTCAGCTACAATTTTTTATTTCGGAATAGTTCATGGCACTGAGGATAATGAGCAAATTCAAGTTACTTAAGTATTTGAAGATTTTAAAGTTGTGATTTTGTGGTAATATTTTCAGAAGTGTGAATTATCCTTTTTCATTCATAATGATTTCCATATTATAGCAATAGGAATAACATTCAGTTACGATAGCTTCTACGAACAGTATCCGTCTAAATTGATTTGTATATGGGTTTTCTAACGAATGATTTATATCCATTATATGGCCATCCCTTTGCACAAGATGCGACAAAGTTTGTGTAAATCTATCTACAACAAGGACATTCAATATTATGAGAAACTGGTAACTGATTATGTATTGCTTGAATTATGTGAGTAATTTTGTGTCAATGAATGTAACTAAGTCATAAAATAATCTTGATTAATTTTGTAAATAAACGTAGGAATCAATGAAAGGAAGCATTCGAAAGTAATACCAGGAAGGACAACGGCTGCATATCAGTCAAGTGTTAGACACTCGTGTTTCGTGACTTTTTGTTATGTTTCCTGTTTATGTGGTATCACCTGATTAACCCTACAACGTGACTGATGGCGGGGAAGTATTTGGTTCCTTTAAGTATCACTAATCGGTAGTACCATTTTGGTTTGTCGAAAACTTGCATTGAAAGATATTAAAAGCTGTTGGTAATATTGTCATATTTTTAGCTGCAGTGAAATACCCATTTATCACTGATAAGAGTTTCCAGATCATTACCATGGGAATATACATACAGTTGAGATAAGCTTCTACGAACAGTATTCGGTTACAATGATTGTGTACATATGGGTTTTGACGAATGATTTATATCCTTTATTTGGCCATCATTTGCAGAAGATGAAACAAAATGCTCAAAATCTATCTATTACAAGGACATTCAATATTATGTGAAACCTGTAACTAATTATGTGTGGCTTGTATTATGTGAGCAAAATGCATCGTTCTCGATTACCTTTGTAAACAAACGTATGAATCAATGAACGAAAACAGTCGGAGTTAATACAAAAAGCAATTCCTTTTGCAAACTTCCCTGTTATTTTTGTTGGATTAGTTTTTTATGAATGTCCGATGATCAATGATGCTGAATCATGTCCTGTATTTTAAATGCTCTCATACAGTTCAGTTGATATAGAAACAACTTTCCAGTCTCTTACTTCTATCACTTCGTTGATATTGTTGGCTGGTTGTATTCACGCCAGCTAAACAACCCCGGAAGTGAGTACGGCGAAACCATACTACGCTTGGTTTATTGGCCAAGCGGACTTCCTGCTCAGTCCAAATTATATAGCAATGTTTTTACGTGTAACTACCTTATCGGGCCGACACTTTGGTCCGAAATCCGACATAATGAGAGTCCGAGATACAAAACATTTTTATTATGACAACAAAGAAGGATTACGTCGGGACCGTGAGTTTAGTCCTGTTTATACAGTAATCTGAGAAAGACAGGGTCCGAGTTTGACAGACTGCACTGTAGATAATAAGCAAGAAGTGGTTATCCTTGAACAGTGAACCTCTTTAAACTTTAGGCCTTTTCGTACATATTACCTAATGCTGCATAGTAACATTCAAATTCACATTTCGCTTCATGATGCAAGTCATTGCTTCTGTTTCAACATGTCTGTATCAAAATTTGATCTTTTGTATATTACACTGTGACACATTTATGAACCTTTTTTCTCATAACCATCTCCCTTTCTTCCATCCACTCGCCCAAAAGGAAAGAATTGTCCACTTCTTAAAACATCACTTCCATCACTATTGCTCATCCAGTCTCCTGTGTTCATGCATTTAGAATGATAATATCACTAACTGCAAACATTCTGATAATACTGCCACAGTTATAACCACTTTATGCCAAGATTTAGTTTTGTAGTTTCATATTACCTTCCATATATTTCTGTAGCTTACTGTTATCATCAACAGTGCATAGTATGCTCTTGTACTGTCACTATTTCAGTGTTTGACTCTTTCTTCTGTAGTTCACCGTATATACGGTTTATACGGGCGTTTTTATTTAATAAACTTTTAAACTCCTGGTTGCATTGCTTTGCTTGACAACTGTGTATATGAGATTTACTGGGCAAGGAACTTTTGATGCGTTGCATCAATGTACACTTCCATTGTCTGAGTCAGGAAGTAGACTCTCAAAGTAGGTGACAATATATTGTGATGTGTTTATAGTAACCGGACTGACCTCGATAATCAACATTCATGTTGTTATTTATATGGGCAACCCTAAGAACTAAATACCTAATAATATCTACATCATGTAAGTAAATAATTTGATCCACAAAAATATGCATCATGTTAAAAGGACACCAATTGATATAATAGATACAGGTGGTACTTGTTGCTATTCTTCCAGGTGTTCG